AATATGAATAAAAGCATGCTAGAGTATAGCTAAAATGAGCTAGAATTATAGACTAAAGAGACAAGCATGCAAGGCTAGCTAGTAAGGATTACACTACAAGTGCAAGAAGCATGCAAGAGGTGGCTCCACCAACCAAAATCAGAGTTAAATCATGTTAAATGATGGCCAAAAACATGCTGGAGTGGAGCCAAAACATGCTAGAACAATAGGCTAAGACATGAAGCATGTTAGGCTAGCAAGTAGAATTACACTACAAGTGTATGAAGCATTCAAGAGGCAACCAAACCAGCCAAAAACAGAGCTATATTAGGTCCAAAAACTCACAAAAACATGCTCAAACTAAGCCTTAAGAGGATAGAAATACATGCTCATTTGATAGGCCAATAACATATGCTAACAAGACAAGAGGAAGGGGGACCACCCCCACTTATTTTGAGCCTCAAAACAAGTTTTCTACCACTGAAATTCCTCTAGAATTCAGTGGTTTTAAGGCCAAAAAGAAGTTGTTTGAAAATCTTGAAAGATAGCTCAAAAGGCCTTACAAGCCAAGGAGCAAAAGGAAGGAAACACCCCCTCGCCAAACAAGGCTCAAACCACCACTTTGAGGAATGAAAAAAAAATAGAGTTTTTTTTAGTTCAAAAACACCCCAAAAAATAGCCCCAAAGTAGTTGAAGAAGATGGCAAAACAAGTTTATAGGGGAGAGTTTATACCTCTTGAAGCTAAGCACCAAAACAGGCAAAAATCTGAGCTCAAATCACCTTTTGGAGCTCAAACAAAGTCCCAAGTAAGCTTCAAGCAACCTCTTCCCAAAGATAGGGAACTTTGATCAAGGATACATAGGCAAACTAGGCATGTTTCTCTACTTCTATGCACAAAAGGGCAAGAGAGAGAGCAAACTAGAGAGAAAGGCTGAAATTTAGCTCTGGAATTTCTAGAGAGAGAGGACTTTTTTAGAGAGAGAGGCTCCCAAAAATGCTTCAATGTTCTCCTCTTGAATATATGAGATATATCTTCATATATAGCAAAAAGAGAGCATTTGGTCGAAAATATCTGAGTTAGGACAGCTAGCACAAGCTAGAAACAGCTAAAGGAGAAATATCTTCAAAAAAAATGAATTTGGGTCACTCTTGGCCAACCGGCCATCTTTGGTGCCGACCTGCTACTTGTGATGGCCGGCCGGCCATCTCCATGGCCGACTGTGCACATTTGTGGCCGATAGGACATTCTGCTCTGCAGGTCCAACTTCAAGCAGGCATAACTCCTTCATATGGACTCCTTTTCAGGTCATTCTTGTGTCCAAATTGAAGCCCTGGAAGTCTTCTTTCCAACGGTGGTGGCCTCATAGCTTAAATCCAAGTATACAAAAGGATAGGCCCGATTTAGCGAGGGTTGCTCGACTCTCTCTTAGCGATTCATGCCCATCTTCTTCTCCAGCTTGGTTTCTTCCTTCTTCTCCTCTTTTGTTCAACTCCTAACCTCTAAAAAAGATGTTTTGAAAGATTTTTCAAAGAGCTCACCTCTCTTTCACTCATTTCTACTTTGTCCCTGCTCGGTTTACCGAAAAGCGTAACATTTAACAATATGCGAGCGTCGGAACATCATAGAAACTTTGTTTTAAAAATATTTTGAAAGAGAGGGTTTTAAGGTCTAAAAATCGTTCAAAATAGTCTCAGTCCAAAATGGGGTGTGAGGTTTGGATTTGACGCTCTCCTTACCGAAGAAATTGAACCTTTGCACTGCACAGCCTGCGTCACTAAGTAAGCAATTAGTAGCGCCCAAGTCTTAAGGACGGTCAAAAATGGGGTGTCTACACAGCCACTTGTGCTAAGTTTTTAGAGAACATCGTTCAATACGTGCTGCACTCATTTCTATAGAAGTTAATAAGAAAAACTAAGGAAAAACATGCTTCTTGAAGTTAATCAAGTATTGCTTCTAGTGTTGTTCTTACTTGGGGTTACCATTGAGAGCCACTTTTAAGGTGAATGGGGTATGGGATGGGGTGGTAGATCATGTGCAGTGACGGTTGGCGAGGTGGAATTGGTAGTATTTGTCAAAAGATGAGAAGATGATGTTGATTAAGAGTGTTCTTTTGAGTATCCCAACTTACTTTATATCGGTGCATGTGATTCCTATGGCAATTGCAAAGTGGGTAGAGAAGCTTTAATGGGATTTTTTGTGGGGTAGTGGAGGGGAGGGGTTTTGTTAGGTTTTTGTTATTGGCAATCCTGTTTGACAAAACTCCTTTCAGTTGTAATTTTATTCGTTCTTTTATTTCAGTAAGGCTATGAGCATTTAGATGCGAATCCAATCCGAATTGTGCCTTGTAGAGGAGTTTGTGATGTTAATTCTTTTATGTTTGCCACTTCGCTGACTATGTCGGGGATCGAGCTGCCTGGTCAGCTCGATGGGGTCCAGGGGGCAGACCCCATAAAGGGTCTGGGGCAGCGCCCAGGTAGGTCGAGGGGCAGTGCACTAGAAGCAAAAAGGAAAAATGCAGTCGAAGTTATTTTTTCGCTCGAGGAAAGGATTGTACGCTTGAGCGAAGAATCTTTGGTCCTAGTAGTTTCACTGTCTGCAAGAATATTGGGAAGGATAATTGTGCGCTCGAGCGAAGAAAGCCTGGCTCGAGCGATGGCACTTAAGGAATACACGCGTATTAGTTTCATCACTCAAGCGACCATCGCGGTCCTGTTTGCTGTAAAGCTGTGTTTTAGTCAAATTTTAGGGTACGACTTCCACATCTTCTTCTTGGGTATTAGGGTTTTCATCTGGAGCTTCTTTGCTTGTTTTCTTTGATATCTGTGAGAGTTTATATCATGAATTGAGTGGATTATATCAAAGGGTTTTTGTTTTATTCACAAAAGAGAGAGTTGTTCTTTGGTGGATTCCGGGAAATTTGGGCTTGAAGCTTTGGTGGATTCTGGAGTGGCTCATTGTCGTGATTCGACATCGGCGTTGTGGATTCAACGTTGGACAAGACAATTCCGAGGTGAAGATAGTGTTGGAAGAGACACATTAGGGTCGGTTCAATTCAGGCATGGATTCGCTAAGTAATTGATAGTATACTTATGTAATTTCTTTTTGTCTTCTTAGTGGGTTGTTTTGTGGCTTTGGCCCACGGTTTTTTTTTTATCATAATTGGAGGCGCTCCAATTGTGGTTTTTTCAACATTAAATTGTTGTGTTGTTTAGTCTCTGATTGTTTGATTGTGATTGTTATTTATTGTTTAAAATTGATACATAATCACAAATCATTATCTTCAGGATTTTAGATTTTTTAGGTTGCATTATCATTTAGTGGCTTGGGATAGGATTTGCTCTCTTAAAGATAGAGATGGTTTGGGAGTTAAGCGTTTGGTTATGTTTAATCTGGCTCTTTTGGGAAAATGGTTGCGGCGCTTTGTATGGGAGGGGGAGGGGAGGGGTTGTGGAGAAAAGTGGTGGCTGCTAAATATTGTTTGAATAGGGGGTGGTGCACGGATAGCGTGGGCCAGTCTCATGGCCAGGGTTTGTGGCAGGGGATTTGGTTAGGTCAAGAGGAGTTCTAGAGGAGGGTTTGGTTTAAAGTAGGAGGTGTGGATAGGGTTCGATTTTAGCGAGGTTGTTTCCTTTGATATATGGTATTGTAGCTGATTGTGAGAAGGTGGCAGTTTCTGTTAGGGTTAGGCAGGGGTAGTCGTTTGTTTGGAATGTTTGTTTGTGTCGTGATGTTCATGATTAGGAGTTGGATCAATTGGTGGATCTCTTAGGGTTTTTGTATGGAGTGAAATCTTGGGGGGGAGGGGGAGAGGGAGAGAATTCATGTTATGAGATTGTTTGAGGTCCAAAGGGGTTTTTTCAGTGTCTTTGTTCTATTGTGTGCTTGAGGATGGTGTTGCTGCTATGTTTCCCTGGAGGTGTATTTGGGTGACGAGGACACCATCCAAGGTAGCTTTCTTTGTTTGGATGGCAGTTTTAGGGTGCATTTTGACTATTGACAATTTAACTCGTTGTCGGCATGTTTTGGTTAATTGGTGTTGTTTGTGTTGTGGAGGTGCGGAGTCGCTGGATCACTTGCTCATTCTTTGTCCGGTTACATCTCGGCTTTGGATGTTGATTGTTGCAACTTTTAGTTTGGTTTGGGTGCAACCGGGTTCTGTGTTGGATGTGTTGCAAAGTTGGGAGGCGTCAAAAGGCATGGATGCTTGCTTCTCATTGTTTACTATTGTTGATTTGGTTGGAGCATAGTAGGCATGTTTTTCAGGGTGTGTCTCATTCAGTTCCTTGGTTAAAGAGTCAGCTTCTTACAGAGTTGCATAGTTGGGTTACGGGATCGGTTGATCCAGATGTTTTAGCTTTTGTAGATTTTGTGGAGGATTTGATTAGTTAGTTTTTGTTGGTTGTTTGTGGGTTGATATTTTTGTGTTCTTTGCATCACCTTGATGGTTTTCTAATACAGTTTGATTATTTATCCCAAAAAAAAGTGTGACAACAACCATAGCAGCTTTGGAATCCAGTCAGGAGCCAAGCATCTTGTTATACAACTTTGGAATGTTAGGGTCCCCAGTATGCAAGTGATAATATATATATATACATATATATATATATATATTTAAAAATGACATTTGCACCTAGTCTACGTGAACCTTTGACATCCATGCGATGTTCAAGAAGTGCAGATTACCTATTATGACTTCTCTTCTCCTCCCACCCCACTCCTTATAGGTAATTTACCCTCGTATTTTAAAATATGGTCAAATTTTCAATTTATCTTGCCTGTCTTGTGACTCTTTTATTGTTCAAATGTATATAGACCTTCACTCCATGGCAAATTAATTTTTAAAATATATATATGTAAAAAATGAGTTTGCAGCTCAAATGTCACAAGTCAAAAAAGAACTAGACAAAGATGGCATACTTAAAAAGGCCTTTCAAGCATGGTGAGACACAAACAAGAAAATAGGATTCATATTAAAGATCAGTAGGTTAAATAAAAATTGAAACATACTTGGTAACAAACCTTTTCAGAAAGATTACAAGCCTTCAATCTCAGAACCCTGAAGAAATCATGGATTTTAACCTCTCCGCTGTGAGCAGGATGCAAACAGTGAGATAAACAATTCTTGCATTGCCACCAACTTAACCGCTATTGATATTGACACAAACTTAAATGCAATTATACAAACTCAAGAGAAAAGAAAGCATTTTGATCTGCATGTTGCAACTAGAACAGAATTAAGCATATTTAGATGCACATGGTCTACATCTTCAGTTTCATGGAGCCATTACAATAACGTTGCAATAATCAGTGAATATCACTACAACAATCAGTGATGGCTAAAATACAACACACTGATGAGGGTAAAAAAAAAAAAAAAAGAAAGAAAGAAAGAAAGGATAAGAACATAAAATACTCAAGAACAAAATTAATTTAACCCTACCGAAGATTTGATATATCTCAGAAAATTGGGAAGAAGCAATAAGGTACGCTTTTAAATCAAATAATGGAATATCAACGATAATTTGATTTAGCCACCAAAAGCCCCCATTTGCATCATAGGCATGGATGCAGAGCATTAGTTTAATGAAAATATCTATGCTCGAAAATAAACTCAAATAAAAATCATCTCTAAAAGTGAAAGAAAGGAAAAGGAAAAGAAACAAAAGGATACATGAAACGAAGCCTGAAAGAAGAAAAAAATAGCAAGCAGTTCAAACAACCTATTCGATTGCATGAAGTAGGTAAGGTGGCATGAAGCGCCAGATGAGCAACTCAAGCAGTGTCAATCAGAAGTTTATTATAAATAGTTCCTTACAGGTATATGAAGGCATACATTACAAGTATTATATTTATAGAAACATCACAAAAATTAAAATTTTACATTATACCTGGAATCTGGGTTCATGGATAGAAATGTATCCAGAAAGTCCACAGCTTCTGAACTGCTTAAATGGAATGCCTGGCAAACAAGAGACATAATCCAATTCATATTTCCTTTCAGTGGATATAAAATTGAGAGTAATCCATTAACTATTAACTAGAATACTATATACAAAGCGAGAAATTTGTTTTGATGAGTGAACAATGTATTTAGAATAATTGATGTTAATCAAATTACTTGTATCCCCATCCTGCACTGTAAAAATACAACAATAATTTATAAAAAAAAACCAATGGTAATCTCTCTACAAAATTCATAAAACCAAAGTGTTACCAAAAAACTTTAATAACTAATGAATTAAAACTTGGAATGCACATTCCGAAACATATTTTCTTTCCAAAACAGTAAATTTAACAATCCAAAGCGATCTCAAAATGTTTTTCAAATACATTTCCGCGAAGAATTCCCTAGGAGGATTTTTTTTTTTAAAATCAACTAAAATATTTTGACAGAACAAAACGCAAAATCAGTCATAGACATAAATTAAGTAGGCAAGCTTAATAGAGTCCTCGACTATAGGAACACAAAATATGCATTCTAGGTGTTTTACGTAAGTACTGAAAAATTCTTCTTCAAAGGTATATGTAAATTACAAGTTAAAGCATATTTTCAATTTTTCATCATTTTAACCACCAAATACACAAGCATACTTCAGTTTTTTTTTTTTTTTTTGATCAGCAAAGAAAAATAGAATAAGTTTTAATGCAGTTTTAATGCAATGTTTTGATTAAAAAAAAAAAAAACTCTTGCCACACGTGGTTAGAAATTTCAATCCATTTGTATGGATGTGATTTGGATTTTTGACCTAGTGGGATGATATATGACATTTTTCACCCACTTTGTTCACCAAAGAGAAAAAAATTGACCTTAATTGACCGTTTCACCTTGTAAATAGAGCGGTGCTACCTACATACAGATAATTGTTGCAAAAATATATATATTTACAATATTTAATTTATGGTTAAGCATTATTTAAGATGTGTATTTCACCATACAAGAGTTTAATCTTAACATATATTATTTATCCAAATATGTTTTTGTGCACATACAAATATTTGAGTAGGAAAAACCACAGCTCTATCTTGTTGAGATTTCAAAATTTATTTTTGAAAATAGTCTACGATTATCAAATCGATTTAATTTTTTTTTTTTAGATGATATATACAAAGGACCCAACAAAATGATTAGTTTAGATCATCGAAATGGGACCCGTAGTAAGCCTCGCGAACCCGAACAACACCTTCTTGTTATCTAGTCCATATCATAAACTGGAGGGAACTAGAGGGAAGCCAGATCCAATTTATTATTATTTCTTAGGTAAATTACACTAACCTCCCTTAAGGTTGGAAAACAAATACAGTAGTACTACAATTTTAGCATAATTACACTAACATTTCTTTTAGTAAAGTAAAAGTGATTAAAACTAATCTAAATATTGTAAAAACAAAAAGAAAACAAAAATATTTTAGTGTAAATGAGATGAAAATATCAAATTTTCATCTATAAGAGCATCTGCATCAGGCTCAGCAAATTTTGAGTCAAATTATAATCCAAAATCCAATTTTATATTTTAGTTAGCCTCTTTTTATATACACACTACATCAAACTCTCTATTCTAAAATTCTATTTCATTAAAATATTATTTTTTATTCTTTTATCTTTTTCAATTTAAATATATTTTTTTTCAACGTCATATTTTTAAAACAGTTATATTCTAACGGTCATATTCCAGCGGTCATATTCTTTCAATATAAATAAAACCAATTGCTATCTAAATTTCATCCACATCAGCCTAATTTTGCTATTTCATTTTGTATTTATTTTCTCTATGTGGATCTTCATTCGCTAGACGATATAATTCTCTATGACTCTGACACCAACGATGAGTTGGAGACAATTGGGATAGCTGTTATGGAAGGGCAACGACTAGCAGCCAATAGTTCATCAAGATCACGACATAATTCTAATCGATGCCGCAAATTCATTTGGCGCAATTCTTTGCAAGGTCACCAATGACTCTTTCTAGATTATTTTGCTAATCCACCAGTATATCCTTCCAATGTATTTCGGAAGAGATTTCGAATGAAACGTTCTCTTTTTCTCCGTATTCAATCTGCGGTAGAAGCTCATGAATCATAGTTTGTCCAAAAAATAAATAGTGCTGGAGTGCTCGATTTATCTTCCCTTCAGAAGATGATTGCAGCACTTAGAGTTCTCGCTTATGGAGTAACAGCTGATTTTATGGATGAATACTTGAGGATTGGAGAAAGTACCCAAATGAAGAGTCTATTTTATTTTGTCAAAGTGGTGGTTGAAATTTATTCCGATCAATATTTAAGGTCACCAAACAACAATGACATTGCTAGACTACTAGCAATTGGCAAAAGTCGTGGCTTTCCTGGAATGCTGGGAAGCATTGATTATATGCATTGGACATGGAAGAATTGACCGACTACATGGAAAGGTATGTATACTGGTCACACCCATGAACCAACAATTATTTTGGAAGCAGTTGCATCATATGATCTTTGGATATGGCATGCATTTTTTGGGTTCTCCTGGTCTCATAATGATATCAATATACTAGAAAGGTCTACTGCATTTACTGAGCTTGCTCAAGAGTGTGCTCCTTCAGTCAATTACACCATCAACGATAATGAGTATACAGTGGAATATTATCTTGCTAATGGTTTATATCCACCATGTGCAACATTTGTGAAAACAATTCCATGTCCACAAGGAAACAAGAAAAAACATTTCGCTATGGCCCAAAAGGCATTTAGGAAGGATGTGGAGCCTGCATTTGGGGTGCTTCAAGCACGTTTTGCAATTGTGCGTGGACTTGCACGATCTTGGAATCTTGAGTCAATTAAAGTTGTTATGAAGTCGTGTATAATATTGCACAATATGATTATTGAGGATGAGAGAGATGACAATGAAGCACAAGACATTGATTTTGAACAAATCGATGAATCCCTTTTGGCACAAGTGTCACATGAGCGTACAACCGAGCTTATGGAATTCATTCAACAAAATCACCGCATCAAAAACAGAGCAATTCATTCTCAACTCCAATCAGATCTTGTTGAGCACTTGTGGCAACTATATAGCCAGTCATAGGACATTGTGTCATGTTTTAATTATTTTGTGGCAAATAAATGTATGTTTTTTTTAATTATTTGTTTTAGTAATGAAAAATGGATTATAATTGAATTTGAAAAGTTTAATTAAATCATTATAATCCTTAAATGCTCCTTGTGTTTAACCATATTTTTGGAGTGCAAAATAATGTTAGAAAAGGTATAAAATAAGGCCCAAGATAGCACCAGAGCAACAACAGAGCAGCAGCAACATAGGAGCCAGGGTGGTCGACCGCCAGACGACCGAGCGGTCGACCGGTTCACAAGACATCCGGGTGGACGACCATGACTTTTTGGCCCAACTTTGCTCCAGTTCAGTTTTGCTGCCCACAACATACATACAAGGAAGCCATTTGGGATTCAATCATTTAAACATGAAGTCATCCAAACATAAACATTCCAAAAACATCCAAACATAAACATTCCAAAAACATTTCAAAAACATCTAAATACAAAGGCATGTTAAACATGTCAAATATTACAATCATCCAAGTAGAAATCATGTAATTACCCCACATCATTAATTTTTTTCCTACTCTCAATGATTTTCAGTTGGCGTAGACGATAATATTCTTGCTGCATTGGGGACATCTCACTTGTATCAATCATCATGATTCTCTTTTCCTCTTTCAATTGTTCAGTTCGAACCCTTGAAGCATGAATATGATAAGATTTTTGAAGAAGTTCAAGTTTCTTCTCAATCACCATGATTCTCTCTTCCTCTTTCATTTGTTCAGTTCGAGCCCTTGAAGCATGAATATGATAAGATTTTTGAAGAAGTTCAAGTTTCTTCTCAGTTCCTCTTTTTATTTCTTCTTTCATCTCATTCAGTAAATCCACAATTGGAGAACAACTATCATGGTTCTTTGCTTTTTTTAACTGCTTCTTTTCTGCCTTCCTACCCATAGGTCTCTCCAAGGGTGAGATATCATCTTTTGCTAGGTTGATTAGCTCTGGTATTGAAGGTGAAGATGTTGGATCATTTCTGATCCTTTTCGATTTTTTCTTTTGGCATTGGTCGAACCATTTTGGTTGATGCCTTAACACTTTCCAACAATGTTCGAATTGAAATGAGGTTTTATTAACCTCTTGGTACATGATTTTTGCCTTGCCAATCTAAAATAAAAAATTAAAAACCAATAATTAGGTTCCTAACATAAAATGAAAATGCTAGGAGAAGTATAAAGATCAATATAATTAATACCTTGTCTTGCTCGTTAACACCATTTTGATGCAATGCTTCAATCTAGGCAAAGTACCCACAAAACTTATTAGTGCCAAAATGAATAATTGACCACCGATTCATCAAAGAATTATCGTTATGTTCACTAATAAATGTCTTTTGCTTGTGAAAATACTCCCCAACTCTCCTCCAAAAGGTCTTGCTTTTTTGCTCATTTCCATGCACTACATCAAAGCTAGTGTTGAGCCAAGCCGATACAACCATATTATCTTCTTCTATGAAAAAGTTGCCTCCACGTGATTTCTTAGTAGTGGATTCCAATTGAGTGTGAGAATGGAGACTCTTGGCCAACCACTTGACCAACTTGACTCATATACTGAGACTCCATGAATTGGCTATCAATGTTAGATCCCTCTTGTAAAAGATTTGCAAAAAATGGGTCTCCATTTGACTCTATCCCTACAAGAGTTGTGAATGCACTGGTTGTTTAACAAAATAACCACATGTGTTTATTTATTTATAGAGATGACAAAAATATAAAATTCCAAAATTATCATCTTTAACTATTCCAATCCTAATGTGCAATAGGAATCAATTAAGGGAAAATTACAATTCAGTGTAAGTGGAGAAAAAAAATTATAAAAAGGTAGAGGGTGCAACCTAGAAAACACAGGGGTGCAACATGTATTCAAAATATGGCATGTTGTTATGTTTTTGAGCTAATTCTTTTTTTCTTTTTTCAATAGAGATTCCAAGTTGAAAAAATGAGAACAAAAATGGTTTTGGTGTTCTGTAAAGCTATGTTGAAAATTAGCATTCTTGATTTACTAATGAATCAATCAGTTGGCATAGCATCTTGGACAAACTAGTGAGGCATTTTATCAAATAGTTACAATGTAAGAACATATATGTGTATAATAACAAAATTGAATATAGTTCATCAACTGATACATGATTTTACAATGCAAGAACATATGTGTATATAATAACAAAAGTGAATCTAGTTCATCAACTGATACACGATTTAGAGAGAGAAAGAAAGAAAACCTGATGACTTCCAAGATGGTGAGAATGAAATTTGTGTGATGACTCTAGTAAGTGTTTACTGCAATGGTGATATGAGAGATGGTGTTCTTGTTGGCGGAAGAAAGAAGTGTGGAAAGGAAAACATAATAAAAAATTGATTACCTTGTGAACAGCTCCTCACTTCATCAAAGAAGGTATTGTAGCTTTGTCAAAATGAATGAAGCTCATAGCAAC